GGTCTTAATAAAAATGTTTAAGACCCGATCTTAAACCATAACTCCAAGTTTGGCTGAATATGAAACATCCATTTACAGCCAATTACACACAATTTCTGTCATGCTTTGGAAGACATGTATATGCACTAGCAATATTAAAAGCTAAAAACCCCAATTCTAGGTGAAACAGGGAAAGACTTAAAACCTTTCAAGATATGCTTAGGCAGAAATGCAGTGAGCCTTAAGAGCAGGCATCTATTGAAAGTATGTACAGCACATAAGTATATTATAGGAGAAGAACTGCTACAGTCCAAAACATGCCATTTTAGGAAGAACACAATCTATTAAAATTATTTCATTCTCATCAGTTTCTTCCATAGATGAAGAACAATAAAGAGAATTAAGCTTGGGGCAAAAACTGACTCTTCCAGTGTCACAAAGCCCATAATAGAACTTCTGCTACCTCCAGCGATGAAATAGGCCTTAGAAAAATCCAAGAATCCGCACGAAATCTAGTGAGGACAGACAAATGCAAACTCACTTAATGTTACAGATACTTGTGCTTAAACTGTAGGAATAGTTTTCAGTTGAACTAGTTGCACAGCTGGGATGCAGGAAATTTTTTACAAAGCTAAAATTAAAAATTATATTTAAGGCCCTTCAACAGAATTGCTTATTATGGCATGTCCCACTGAAACACTTATTCATAGGGTGCAGTTGTTCTTACTTTGGAAATGAAGGTTTCCAGTGCAGAGTTGTTCCCATTTAAAATGTTCCTGTCCCACAGCCGGAGTCCGGGATACCTTTGTAATTCCAATTCCAGATGAGAATAACTGTTTATGGTCAAGTTCTTGAAGAACAGGGAATACTGAACTAACAGAGGAGATTACATTCTCTTCATGTGAGCATATGTGTTCATATGTAATCCTAATTGATATGCTAATTGGCAGCTGCAAAGAAGAATTGGTAGGATGCTTAAACACCAGCTTTATTCACCTTATTGGTTAGGATTCCTTTGAAGTCCACAGTTATAAGACAAAGCGGTAGGAAAAAATTTCAGCAAAACTCATCTTGCCATAAAGATTTGTTCTTGTTATTGCTTCTCAAAAAGCATTTCGCTTCCATAGAGTCCCTCTAGATTTGTAACAACTTACCTCCTGTTGTAAGCTTTCTTTTCTGTTTTTATACAGAAGTTTTCAGTGTCTTTTAACCTTTAAGAGATGAGTGAAAAACAAAGTTTTCTGTCTGAAAGTCTAGTAGTCTCCTCTGATCAGAAGACCACAGTGGGGCAGTAAATTTGGTTACGAATTGTCCTCCTGTCTAGAGGAAAGCAAATCCATACTCAGGGAGAGATTACTCTCGGCTAAGTAAAATTTAAATACCATTAGATCCCATTTGAAAATGTTCTTTATACACAGAAAACTAACATAATGGAAAGCAAGAGTCTTGGTGGGAAGATATATCATCTACTACTGTGCATTAATATCAGAAGTCTATCCCCCTATCTTCCCACATTTTTGTTCCACTAAATTATAAAAACAGCCAATGACCTGCTTGAGAAACAAAATATCAACCAGATGTTTCCTGAACAAAGACAACTTGTGTTTCCCTTTACACATCATCTTCTGAGAGGCAGCACTACAGTGACTGTGTATCTGACATCATTCACTATGTTGACTTTGGGTTACTCAGAATCTTCCCTTTGCTTTACCTTCCAACTCGAATACAATAGCGTTACAGAGAGATCACACAAAAGAATGGATTTGAATGACTAGAACACAATGTGGAAGAATCATTTATATTCACTCTGTAACATCACTCCTTATGGAAACAGGATGTGTGATCAGTCATCCCCAAAAAGAACCACTTCTTTACCTGAAGAAGAATATGCAAAAATATGCTTTTGTAAGAGCTTGTAATTTTAAAACAACAGTTCTATGTGAGAATAGATCCAAAGCTCATTCTGATTCATGGAAAGTCTGACCATTGTACTTTGGATCAGATGTCTGCCAGAAACTACACAGCATTTTTTTAGTTCTATTTGGCTACTAGGCAAACTTCATTAGTCCCTATTAATCTACAGAGTGCGATACCTACCAGTTGGTTAATGGGAGTGGGATATAGAAGAGAGGCTCAGTCATCATCTAACAGAAATGCTTCATTCTTTTTATTCACATAACCCTCTATTTACAACAGATCACTCTAAAAGAACAAACTTTGAGTTCCGTTTTTAGGCAAGCTGATGGAAACAGAAAGTTTTCAGGTGCTACATGAACAAAGAGCATGGGAAGGGGAGGTTCCATTTTTTTTAACCCTGTGCACCAGCACTCATAACGCATAATGACTTACAACTTTCACAGCAGGTAAATTTCTGGTCAAGCTATCCAGGAAAGTTCATAAAGCATGTATAATTCATACAGTATCAGTATTTAATCAGTCATGAATAAAGCTCTAAAATGCTTCAGGAATGTCTTCTGCAGCCAAAGACTGAAAAATACCAACATTTTGTTTCTGGTTGTAACATCACACAAAGCTGGAACTGCTTTTTCTTTCCTAGCAATCCAAGACAGGTCTAGTAACAAACTGAAGCGTCACTGCATATATATGTCACTATGAAAGTCCATGGGGACCTAAATTTAACAGAAGAGCTGATGTTGCATTTGTCTCACATCATTGGTTAGTTGCTTGCAAATAGAGGAAAAGCTGGTTTCAGTAGCTACTGTTTAATGAAACGTATTTTAATTTGGAAAGTTGCATACAGCACAAGAAACTGCCTGTGCAATGGTTTTAATACAGATATGTGACAAAAGGCCATGTATTCTATACTCTCAGTGTGGGGTCTACAGGAAATCAAGTTGTCAGCAAGATTGACAATGGAGACATTCAGCCTCTTGAATGCCCGGTCTTACTGTTTCAGCCCACTGCAGACAAAGGTATACTATGTCTTGATGACAAATAATGACAAAGATGCAGTCATGAATTTATGAATATAAAATACTTCCACTCTGTCTCCTACTTTCATTTCATTAAAGAATAAACAAAATTACAGATTATTTGGATAACAAAAATTACCTCATTGCTACATGATTCATCCCTGTGCACATATTCGGCTCACTAGGTACACATTTCTTGTAAACCTTGAAACTCTAAGCTTTATGGTAGGTTTACAATTACAGACAGGCTTTGTACTACTGTGGTACAAAGGTTAGTTTTGTTCAGAAGGAACTGGAAATCAATTACTTTGCATCATTGTTCCAGGAAGATTCCTCCTCAGCTAGTTCCCTTTTTAAATTCTGTTATATCAAGTCTAGAATGGTTCCTTTTACTTTCCTATCTTCTTTTTTAACAATCTGACTAGTTCTGCCTTTGCTGCTTTGCTTCAGGACATAACTTCTATCCACATCCTGTTGTTCAAAAGCACCTCTGGTATTCTTGTGATTGCTTACAACATTTGAATTCCTACATACTTGGCACACTCCTAAAATCCTTTCTGAATTCTCAAGGTATTTTCTTTTAAATACTGCCAAAAAAGGAAATTTGAGAACTGATATACTCAGGTAAAACACCATCATATTTTTTGTATGATGGAGATAATTCATTTTCAGTACACAAATAAAAATTTGGCTCCAGTTCCAGCAAGCGCATGTGTACAAAAATTATGGGAAGTTAAAGAGAATGATGCTTCAGAACTGTTCTCTCTTGATGTCTGTTCTTTATCTGCTGAGAACAAAAAAAAAGCAACAGCTAAATTTAAAATGGACTGAAAGTTGTCCAGCACTGTAATAAGCAATTCAGTAATGGTCTCCAAGACAAAGACATTTGAAAAATGCCTAAAACTGCTGGCAGCAAGCTCTTCAGAACACATGGAATCCTACTTAGTTCTCATGAATTCAAGTTATTCTTTCAAAAGCCTTTAAAAATAAAACAGCCCATGATATCAGCCTGTCATTTGTGACCTGCCCAGCATGGCCACTCTTAAACATGAGAGACAGAAAAAGAGCACTGCATGGATAGAATACTGATTTATTGGAAACAAATATTTACGTACAGTATTAAGGCAATCACTTCAACCATTTCTTTTTTAACAAGACAAAAGCTACCCCATTACAAGATTTTTTCAGTAACAGGATTAGATTTAGTAACAATGCAGAACATTTTAAATTCCCAAGATTGAGACCCTCTCATCTTTTATGCATCCCATCCTCCCACCCCCCACACCCCACCCCTATCAAAGGTGCTGGAAATTTAATTTCCTGCTCAGTGGTGCATTTAGTGGATTACCATCCAAAATTGGTTTCCTTCTTCACATCAGCACAAAATTCAAAAATGCAAGCAAGCCCAAGTTTCATGTGAACTCATTCACGTTCAGTTGCAGGCATCCAGTTTAAAATTCTTCCAATTTAAAGTTGGTATCCAAGCGGCTTTATAGATAAGGCTACTGACTCTGAAGATGTAACTTGTTCCGCTTAAATAAGACAAGGAAGCCAACTCCTTTATTTCTAGCTGGACACAGCTAACGGTTTTTACTTTTCATACAGGTGTATTGAGATCTGAATGCAAGGCTTTAGGCACAAGTCCTTTTATATCTGTACTTAAAGCCCTTACAAGGAAGCTTAGTAACACAGAGTTCTAGTTCCTACTGCAGACTTCTAGTAATACACCTACATGTCCTCAGCATTTTTTAGGTTTATCACAGGTGAACAGTTTAAGAATGACAAACTTGGGTAGCAAAAGTGTCTCCTCCTAAGCAATGCAGAGAATTTTCAGTCCAAGTTCAGACATTTTTCCTAGCAAGATCGTTGTCTCTTCTCCAAGGATGTAATATTTCAATCAACAGAACTCCTGTAGCTGACACATGATAATCAGCATAAGCAAAGCATGGGGGACAAGGCAAAACTTAAGTACTTTCAAAAGGGTGCAGCTGATGTTGGCGTTACCTTTTCAGTGGCGAACTCTTCAGCTGGAAACAAAGATCTAATAAATTTCAAGGCATAAACCAACTAAAATAAAATTATTTCCAATATTAGAGGTAGATTTTATCCAGTGTAATATATAATAGCCACTCCAGTATGTGCAGAGCTCTAGGAATTAAACAAGACTAACTTCGACCTACGTGCTCTTAGAATAATTACGGCAAGCATTTTGCATATCCTTCAAGAAAGCAGGCACACCACTCTGTAAAGAGAAAAGTGTAAAAGTCATTCTTGTATAATGTAATCAAGTAAAACTACAAGCAAAATGAGAATGCCCACCATATAGATCAAGGCCTTCAAACAAATACAGGACAATTCTAAAATCTGGTACAAAGCAGCAGACCATTCCTTTAATACTTCATGAACAGACTGCATAATTGGATTTTGCTTGTGTTAAGGCTATTCATACATGATCTGGAACACATATTTGTTGGGTTTTGTTGCAGAAATTTACCTGCCTGGTAGACTATCCAAAGGAATTTGATAGGAATTAAAAATAAAAATCAAGACAACTGGCGCGAGAGCAGACAAAACCAAGACTCTAAAAACAGGACTGCATAAGCACTAAAACGATCAATACATCCACTTCAGAAAGAAATAATTCTACCCAGCATGCAGAAGACAGGTATGGATGCAGTGAATACACTGTTTGAAACAGATTAGCCAAAGACAATTGCACTGTCAACCTTTACTTACCTTAGCAGCCCAATTGACCAGCCATGATGGAATCATGCCACCAGGATTATCAACATAGTACATATAGACTAGAGATGAGAGAGAAGTTACCACAAAGTTATCCAGTCAGTCTGAGTACTCGCTCTAACAAAATGACAGAAGCTGTCGGTGTGCATGACTGAATTACCAAGTACAACATTTCTACTCTAAATTCTTCACAAAAAAGCCACCTTGCACTGAAGTGGAATGTTAAAGTATAGCCACATCCAGTTAACCTCCGGGAAGCTGAGAGTGCCATAATATTTAGACTACTGCAAACTATTTTAGGCAGCCTGTTTTATAAAATGAGGTTGTTTTTAAAGGACTAATCTCAGACAAGAGTCAATCTCTAGGTAAACCCTTTAATCTGTACATCTGCCAAACACGATGCTTATATCATTGCTGAGTTAACCAGATTTCAGCTAGCACCAGACTCTACCCAACTGAGCTGGCTGGCAGGAAAAGAAGCGCGGGCTGGGGGAGAGGGGGCGGAATGAGGGGGCAGAATGAAGTGGTCAGTAGTCTATTCTTAACTATCCAGCCCAACTGTTATATAAGATTCTTAACAGTAGTACACAGCACTGGACATTTCCAAAAGTTTCATTCATTTTAAAAGTATACCTAATGCTCAGTACATTCACTTTATAGTAACTGGTTTAGCTTAAAATTTCCAGTCTCCCTTTTTGTGCATTTTGCTAATACATACATTCTTTGGCTATATGACTTATGATCGCACTTTCTTGACCTCTTACCTTTAGATCCCGTTTTGCCATCACTTTCAATTGCCAAACTTTGTTTATAGCTTTTAACTCTGATAATACCAGGCTTTTCAGGGCACTGAGGAACAGACACACTTTGAGCTAACACAACCCAGATCTTCCGCCCATCAACATCCATCTCTCGACATTCACGAATATAGACATACTGTATTCCAAGTTGAGGAGGCATGTCAAAACAGTGTCATCTGACATCTGATGAACTGACAAGTGAATTCCATTACAAATACCAGCCCCTTCAAGTTATTTCTTATGCTTCAGCACAATTCTGTCCTGCAGAGTAATAATTCAGCTATGCAAGCTTTAGCTGTGTGTGGGAAGAGGCACCCACACTCTTCTTCAAGCTATACGTAATTCATGTAACATAAGGACTGCAAGATCTTAGATCAAGTGCAGTACAGAATAGAAGCAGTACGTTGTTGGGATCCCTGGATGACCAGGTGACAAAAACTGCAGGAGGAACACAAAACTTGAAAGGATACATCTCTGTTTGAGAGAGGAAAAGGGTATTTCACTTCCCAGTAGATTACTTTTTCACCATTGTATGTTTTCTCATGCAGTTCTACAGTTGAAAAAGGAAGACTGTTAGATATTTTTAATTTCTACTGCAACAGAACCATACATAGCATCAAGAACTGCTCAGATTTCTGACAAGAACACATTTTATATGCAACCCTTATGTCAAAATTGGTATATATGTAGCAGTAGAAGCCATTTAAAAAAAGTTCTGTAGCAGGGTTGTTCAGGAACCAAATACACAGATATAGGTGGCCTGCTTTTCTGCTGCTATTGAATTCATTGATAAAAAAAAAAAAAAACAAACAAAACACCAAAGAACCCGAAACACAAAACCAGAACAATTCTGAGGGGGAGGCAGAGTCAAATTCCTTTTCAGACAGTTAGTTCATTCAAAGCTTTTCCATTATAAAGCTTTTTTCTGACCAATGCATATTCTGTATAATTCTGAGCCACAAGTACTGTACGCTTTTTCACAAGCACGTCGTTATCCTTGTAAATTATAGGAACTAGGACGAGTACTGCTTTCTAATACTTGAAGAGGCCTGAACACAAGGGATTAATGAAGTTTGGAAAAGCTATCAGGGATTTCACAGCAGTATATACAGGCAACAATGAACACGAAGCTTGAGCAGTTTATGAGCCTTCATTACACCACCTTCAGTCTGCCTGGATACTCAATCATAAGGCAGCTGAATCGGAAAGAAAAAAAATCCAAGAATAGTTGCTAAAACATGGCAGTGACTCAGTCAGGTAGTACTGCGGCATAAAGGAAAAAAACTGTTCAAATCAAACTACATAAATGAGTCTGAATAACTGTCTACTGTACAGCTTCTTCCCTTCAGGCAAGAACTGCCATTCTCAGGGTGATGGACCTGACAAGCCATGGCGCTGAGCCAGGGTAAATACCTGTCTGCTCAGGGACCAGTCATTACATGGGTGCAGTTAAAAAGGGTGTGATCCAGAAAAATGGTTCACATTAACAGTCAGAGTGGTCTTTTCCTCCTTTAGAAGAGACTTCTGCCTGAGGTGCTATATATCCTTCAGAGCCAATGCACAGTCTGCCACATCACTTTCAGTGGTTTTGAAAATAAGGCTAGAACAAACTGATAATCTCATTGCTAAGGCAACAAGAGTGCCACAAATGGGAGATTCTTTCCCTCTGTAACATGTTCCAAACTAGGCTTCTGTAAGTATGCCCTGCAGGTCAGCTGTAACCCACGAGAACAGCTTCTCCTCTTGTCCAGGCTGGAGCAGTATTAGCTGCACAATACTGCCAGTATTGTAACAAGCTTTACTGTATTCGTGTACAGCATTATCCTACCCACCAGAGGTCACTGGAGCATTGGTTTATTCTATTAGCTTTACTTGCATTTCTAACTGCAGAGCTTTCCTTTTTCAAAGGGATTAAGACACTATTTTAAAGACCTCGATGCAATTGTTAGCTACTAACTCATATACCTTTGTATCTTTTCAAACACAAAAAACCCCACGCAATAGCTAAGTCATGTCCCACCTGTATTGACTTTAGTCTGTCAGCACTAGTGGACAATTTCTGATCAAAGCACAATACCGTGCATTTTAATCAATAACCAGATTTCACTTAGCACTACTACAACAGATCACAAGTCCCTTTTATTCATAATAGGCACAGCTGCATTTACTGCTTAGCAGTCAATTCTTCCCATTAAATTGTTGGGAAGTATAATCTCAATCAGGACAGTGTTGCAATCAGGAATAGCAAGTTTCAATATTGCTCAGGCCCAACCATTTTGTATCATGCCACAGAAGCATGCGGTTCCTCAGTCACTTCTCTACAGTTTAGTCACAACTTCCCTGCTGAATTGGCAGCTGCAGCACAGACCAGGCCTGAGGATGTCCACATCTTGTAGATATGCAGGAGCCTGCTTTGGGAGTAGCCAGGGTACTAACAGCAACGCAACAGCAGCAGACTGATATCAAAATTACTGAGGTCTCAGGAAAACCCTTGGCAAGAACAGATCAAAGCACGACCCTCTGAAGTACTCACAGGAGTCCTGTCCATATCTGCCTCCAGTCAGGCCTTCATAAAGAGTTTTGCTGAACAGAACTAGAGGATAGAGATTAGCTCCTCTTACGCTTAGTGCAGGAGCAGTTACCTTTTCAACTAAAAAGACAGCTACTTCTACTCTGGTCACGTTTTTATTTCAATGCCAGCCAGCAGCTCAGCAGAGAACTCTTCTTTGGACTGCTATTAGTGCATAGCTGTAGAAGCAACAAGGAATACAAACAGTAAAACAAAAGGCTCTGAACAGAAGTTTTCTGGTTTTTCTCCTCAAATGTGAAAGGAGAAAAACCAAGCTTATACAGTTTACATTGAAAACGGTGGCTAGCATTATTTCATCACATGTACAGTTCTAAAGAATGAGTGGGCTTGTGTGAATTGTTATGCTATAAGGAAAGCAGTAATATTATGTTTACATCCTTCAAGAGTTAACTTCTGTGAAATGCTGGACTTGAAGTACTAGCATAAATATAAATTCACAGATGAACATATCATGGTCAGCAAGGATATAAATGCCAGTTTTACAATGTTACCTAGTTTTTAGATTAAGGGTGTACCTTTTGCCAACTGCTTCCTTTCTTTTCTTTAAGAAGGCATTTAAAAAAAAAAAGTGTTTGCTTAAGAAGGACTCAGTTCTCCTAAATGCTGTTAAATCAAAGACTACTGAAGTAACTTAAGATATCATAATATTTTTACATCCAATATGATAACGTTGACTCCCACTCCAGCTCTTTGTTTCATTAATGGCAAAGTGGCCTTTGCTACAGAAAAGCTATTGCCCATTTTGACAAATAACACTTACTAATGAAGACCTAGCTTCTTAAGCTTGAACAAGTACTGACACATGTCAGCTGTGTGGTTCTTTGTACCAATACAGCCAAAGGCATTACCAGTAATCAATCACCATAGAGCTGTCCTAGACCTAACAAGCACAACATTTAAGAATTCTTTGGGTTTTAGCACTGTTCTTTGTTCAGCAAAACACTTTGACCATGTTTCAGTTTTATTGACCTGAACTGACTTTAGGCACAGGCTTGAAAGGGAAGGGCTCCTCATCTTTTAAACAAATGGATTACTGGATGCCTATATCAGCTGAATCCTTGTCTTGTCACTGCTGATTTAAGATGTTTTAACACCATACAGATATCCAAGTTCAACTTCCTTTTTCAAAGACAACATTAAATGAACACAACTAAATTAATTATTCCTTTCACTGTAAAACCCCAAAGTCACCAACTATTCTCTCGATACACCCATTTCTAATCATAAAAGGTGCCAAGAACAACCACTTCTTTCAGGAAAAGACATTCCATCACGCGTTAAACTGCTGCAAGTCATTGCACTGCTCCACTACAACATGAAAAGATGCACAAAAGGTACCATCTCCATCTCTCCCCAGAACACCTACTAAAATTTAACCTAGGAATTATAACACCTAGAAGCTGGAAGGTGCTCCAGCATAATAAATTATGTCAATTACATGCTTTAACCACCATGGAAAGAATTAATTCCAGAAGGAAGCTGTATGGTGACGAGATGTTAGCTGTTCCATGTCAGTGTCTACTTGCATATCTGCAGAGTGCAGCCTTATCCCAAAAGATACTTAAGTCTGGCTGAAAGACTTTGGATACAGCAACTTTAAAATATCTTTGAACAAAGTTTTAGAGGGAAGAGTCAATGTGAACATAAATCTTGCTTTTAAACTGCCTACATGAGCTTACCTTTAACATACTTATCCCATTGTTTTCTGAAATCTAAATCCATATAGACATCTGCACACAGTTTTGGGGAACAGTCAGCAAGAACACCGAAGATTTTATACTCATAAAGTCCTGATTGCTGTGGAAACAGAATGGGGAGAGAAAAAGTCACACAGGAAAGGGAAGTACTCTGCAGCAGGGAGAACAGCTGAAGGAAGTTAGGTGGGGCACATACTACAAATTTGCTCAAGGGCTGTGAAAGCAAGTGCTCAAAAAACAATGCAAGATTCAGTCTTTAACCTCTCGACTTTTTGATCTATACATGCAAGTTTAAATCCAGACAGGCTGACCTGCCCAGCACAATGATTGTTCTTTCCCTTACACCAGTACCCTTCTACTTCATATTTAGTGCCAAAGGCAGCATGTTTCTTCATCTCCCCCCCCCGCCTTTTCATTTCCAGTGGTCAGTGCAGACTAAATTCTGCCCACACTGAAGCTCACCAGAAGCATTAAATTGTTGTGGCATAGTGTCCAGACTATACCCTGTACAGTGTGTTTAAGAATCTCAGCCATTTCCAGGAGGTTACCAAGTACTGCACAATCTGGAATAAGCTTTCCAGCAAGCCAGGTATGCTTATACTTCAGGCTGTGATATAAGAATGCTTTATAATGTTCATGCTTATATACAATGCACTATTATATCTGGCTTGAATACTTCTCAGCTATTTTCTTTCTGAAAGCTGCCTGCACTGAAGGGGTGGGGTGCAGGATATCTCCTATGTTAATGCTCTTAATGTTTCTCTCAACATATGGAAACTCCATCTGTGCCTATAGAGCAATGTTTGTTCTATTGTTAGTACCAGTCCAAGACTAAATTAAAACAATGAGAGCATTTTGAATATACAGTGTAGGAGGCAAATTCAAGCATTCCCAAGGAAAGGGAGGGAAGGATTATACAACATTCTGTTAGTGAATGGCTGATTTTTCTTCTTCCCCTCCCCTTCACAAATCAACCCTAGAAGATAAAGATTTGATGTACCAGAAGATAATAATAAGACGAAGAAGCTTAAGCTACTCATCTCCGCTGTAGCTTCACTGAAGCAGCAATTCCTAGCTTCAAACCTGAATTGTTCAGCACCTGTGCAGCCCCCTGCACTCATGTCATCTTTGTAAAAGACATCAACATTTTTATTTTCACAAGAAAAACTAATTTTGAAAATATCATACCTGAAATTGAGCCGACACCCAACAGCATATGCCAAAGCACCAACTGGTACTTCAAAAATAGTTGTTTAGCTTAAACACTATTTCATTCCAGGTTCCCAGTCAGAAATGCTATGTGGATTATCTTGCATGTATGTATATTTACATTAAGTGTCACATAATGCAGGAGAACAGCAAACCGTAATTCTCCTCAGTCCTCTAGTAATTCAGAAAAAAAGTCTTACTTCCTCATGTCATTGGGCTGCTTTTCCACTGAAGAACAGAAATCTTTGTATTCTCTTTCTGGACTTTGATTACGACTGCATCTTGAGAAGTAACAAACCAAGCTGCCCCCAAACTGCATGCTGACTGCAGAATTAAAAAGCTAGTTATTCATCAGCACACTCACTTTTTTTTTTGCATCCTCTAGCTCCTCTTAATCTGTTCGATAGAAGCAAGCCACGCAATAATTTTCTCATTTAAGTTATCAGAGCTTGCCTCAAAGGTTTTGCATAGAATTGTGTGCTTTGTGCCTTAGTGAGGACAGACTAGAGTTTCACACTTCCAAACAGAGTAAAAGCTTTAGGACCACAAACTATTACATTTTATTGCTTGTTTCTAAAGCTTTTGTGTTCCACCCAATAGGAGCTGGAAGTGCCTGCAATACTTTTTCATTGAGGATTATCAAAAGATACACATACAATGTAGGTTGTTAAAGCATTTTTGCTATAGACAGAACCTCCATCACAGGTTAACATAGAGCTGTAGTAATGTCATTTACTGCCACGTAATTCAGAAGCCACTAAATAGAGAGTGCAAGTGCTGCACTACCTAATATGCTTACAAATATCTGAAGGGTGGGTGTCAGGAGGATGGGGCCAAACTCTTCAGTGGTGCCCAGCGACAGGACAAGGGGCAATGGGCACAAACTGAAGCAGAGGAAGTTCCGTCTGAACATGAGGAAGAACTTCTTCCCTCTGAGGGTGATGGAGCACTGGAACAGGCTGCCCAGGGAGGTTGTGGAGTCTCCTTCTCTGGAGATATTCAAGACCCGGTCCCTTCCAACCCCGACCATTCTGTGATTCTGTAATCTCCGGACTTAACAGACGGGATTCTACTTTACATTCAAAGGTATGCTCCCAGCTGGTTCACAATATCAGTTCAGTCATTCTTGCATCTGTAGCCTTCAAGTTCTTATGCTGTAGCTCAAGACAGATCAAGAAATTATGCTGTCCTCTACCAGTCTATCTGTTCCACTGCTAGACAAATCGTGGCATGCATCATTAAATATCTTCTACTAAAAAAGGTAGAATTTTGATAACAGTAAGAAATAATAAACTGTGATCTGAAAAATGAACAGTACATCTTGCAGGAGGTAAGACAGACAAAAACACTCAACAAAAACAGCAGTCTACAATAAGAAAGTTAAAACTTTTCAGGTTCTCAGAGGCCGAGCAGCAGGAGAGCCAATCTGTGAGCTGGAATACAGCACAGAGAAAGAAAGCCCAGGTGATCTATTAGTGTAGCCTGCAGAGAAGGTGGAAAGAGAAGGCAACAGGAAATATAATTGCTGCCTGCAGCTTCCTGGACTACCACTGCTGTAGCAGACCTGCAGTTCAGTTAAGTGTTAAGAGCCAGTTTTTCCAGTAACAGCTTTAAGCAAAGACCCTCCTGCTAGAACTTGGTTCCTCTTCTCATGTTGCAATTTGAAGCACCTGAAATATGAAGCAACTGAAAGACAAAACAAATGAGAGACTTATTTCCCAGCAGAATCAGAAAACTGGACTTGGAAAGGTCCCTTGCATCCTACCTTGCCCGTCTACGTACCCTAAATCAGGGTCAACATACAAGATGCCAAAAAAAAAAAAAGACACCTGTATGTTTTTCAGTCAGCTCAATAGCTCTTCTACATAAAAGCATCAGAAGACAGGGCTACTTTCCATCTAGCCAGCTGCAAGTCAGGCAGCAGCACCAAAGCCACAGCAACACAGGCTGCCCCAACACAAGTCTCATGGACGCCTGCTCCCGTTTGTCTGGCCACGTCCAGCCTCCGGCTTCCCGAAGCCGCTTTCCCTTCATTCACTGCATGATGCATTCACGGGCCTGTGGTGAGCTCCAGGCCTGAAGTTTCTATTTTATCCACCCCAGAAGCAACACCCCATGTCACCTCATTTCATCAGTATATCTCACTCCTGCCTGGATACCTGGCAGACACCACACGCTCCCCTTTGCTGCATGCACGCATCGTCTTGCTCTTGCCGGTTACCATGTCCATGATGCAAATAGCGACCATTTACCACCAAAAAACTCAAGGTGTATGAACTGACTTTTTTTTTTTTTTAAAAAGACTTTCCCTAAAATCCCTACCCTGTCTTGCCTTTCACACAGACCTATATGCTTGCTTTATTTACTATTTTTAACATGACCACACCTGAAATGATGTTTCAGAATACAGATCCGAAATTTTCATGCAAAGCACAGCTGAAGCCCAGCTTTACAAGGCGTTGAGAAGTAACAATGATCACAGAACTAAATAGGGTATTTACATGGGTTCAAAAGTCATTATTAAATCATAAATCATTGTGATTTATGATTTAACAGTCACTATATTAATCACAAGTCAGTTCTGGAAGCCTAAACTTTTGAACTTCTTAAAAGAAGTTCCCGCAAAACCGGGAGGAATTTCACTCCAACCCTTCCTGAATCACCTCCTGATTTTAGAAGGAGAAAGGCGGAAAATCCGTCTGAAGGGTGATCTGAGAGGCAGCAGGGCGGGCAGCGGGAGCCTGCAGACGAGGAGGATGCTCCGGCACGGGAGGTGCGGAGGGGCCGCCCCTCC